GTGTACCCACTCAGTGAATGAATGAATGACTGGATAACTCTAAGTGATACAGCAGTGTCACAGGAATCTCCACTGAGAGTCCTAAATCTGGCTTAATCTGCTGCGTATCTGCCTGAGCACGTCATCGACCGACTGACAGGCTGTTCAGAGGTTTCTGAGTGGCTTACTCACAGGCTGGTTGGTTGAATGACAATTACTGACATAACGGCCCTGTCTCACGTATAAGGACGCTTGTTTGGGAGCATTTCAAGTCACTTTCAAGTAAACAGACGTGTTGACTGGTCACTGCAGGAAAAGCTCAGGTGCAACATCAACTATTGCTCAGTTCCATTAAGTGCCCTGATGGATCATGCCATGTGAGTTGTTATGCACAACATCTTGCCCTTGAAGTGGTAAACCTACATGGAATGCAGCCTTTATTGGCGTTAGTAAATCCGTCTGTTGTTCCCACCATTACATGTAACAAAAAAAAAAAAAAAAAAAAAAAAAAAAAAAAGTACATTCAGGCTGGGAATGGTTTGAAATATTGCGACACAACTGCCATTACTGCACAAATGGCAACAAAATGGCTAAAAAATATTAAGTTTAAGTCCGGTGTCACACTATAGTTTTCTTATTGTCAACAAATCCACAAAAAGACAAAAAATGTGTTAGTATGCCTCAATACTCTGACTTCCCTACTCTGTCTGTGGCACAATCTTTAAAAAACACCTCACAAATATACTAATTTCATTTTCAAAAAAGAAAAAGCTCAGTCATTTCCTAAAACAAACTGGTCCGTGTAGATCTTAACAAACTTTATTAAAAACAGGAAGGAGTACACTTGCTGGGGACTATTATCTGCAGCGTATTGATACACATTTGGGGATTTCTCTCTAGTGAGTCACAATAAACTACAATGTGTGTGTTCAATGGTGGTAATGAAGGTACATATCAGTGTAACAGTGTTTTTTAATGTATAGTGTTTCAGTAGTTTTAGTCATTTAGTTAATAACAAACTGCAGCAAAAAAAAAAAAAGTCCTTAAGTTTATAATAAGTTTGCACTTATTATAATCACGCAGAACATGTGCAAAGCTCCCCTGAAAGGGTAATGTTTGGTTAAACTTTAAAAAGCAGGAGTATTTTACATTCAGTGTCTCTATGATAACTAGCTTGCGACTGTAAAAAAAAAAAAAAAAAGAAGAAAAGAAAACTCTTTCATCCACCATTTACAACCACTAGCATAGTTATCTGGTTGTTGACTTGGTTACGTGGAATGTAAACAAACTTCAGCTGGGCTTGACATACGATTGCGATGATATCGAGAAATAACTATAAAAGGAAAATATGTGGTGATAGACTCCAGTCTGCAAAAAGCTGTCAAGAGTCCTGGAGTCTTGTTGACAAAAACTACTTCTATATACCATGTAAATCGCATGATCATTAATCACAATCTAATCACGGGACAGTTTGTTAAAGTTACGAAGGAAGGAAGCAACCATGAATGACATGGCATGAATGGCATCTCATCTGACTGTCGTCTGGGAGGGATGTCTGATTGGTTGGATCTCAGCTCCTTTGGCACTTTAGTTCACAAACTGAAGTCCCAGGACCCTCAGGGTTAAGACAGAATCAGCTGGGTCTGATCTGACCTTCCTATGATGGCTGCTGCTTAAATAAGAACACACTTTATTTTCTCTAAGAGCCCTTCAGATATTCATCTCACCAGCTGTGCTTATTTCAATTACCATCCTTCCTTCAAAAGTAGTCAGTGTCAAGGCAACAGTCCCAGCGGGAGGTCTTGACATCAGGAAGCTACAGTACTTAACATATGATCACAGTGCTACAGGTCTCAATCCTTAATCACTTCAGTCTGGCTGCAAAACAACAAAACTGACCAAACATAAAAGACATGACATCATCATGTAGTGATCTTTCCAGCAGAGTCCAAAAAGTGAACATGTTTCAGTCCCTCAGAATTAAAGAGTGAGGTACCTTTGTGGGATATATTCCAGTCTTACAGCAGGAGCAGACCCGGCTCTGATGTACAGAACAACATCATCAATAATAAAGCAATCTGCTGGATCACTGGGCCGACTGATTGATTCAATCTCAGGATGCGACCAATCACACCGGTTTCTCTCCAGTGCACACTTACCACACACAAGACAAGATGGAGGTGAAAACATCTGAGCAGAATAACCATCAGAGAGACAAAATAAAAAAGTTTCCACTGACATTTTACCTTATTCTACTTTTGGTTGCTGCGTGGTACTCCGATCACCACGCCCCCTCAGTCACAATGCAGAACAATTCAGGTGAAAAGGAACAAACTTGCATCTGTTTCAACGGGATATTAGAGCAAAGTGAAACTGTCGTCTGGTTGTTCAACAAACTTAAACTGCAGACTCATGTGACAAACAATGTTCTTACTATAAGAGGAAGCCACAGTTATGGGGAGGTATTGGTTAGGCAAGCCAGGTCGTCTATGTGCTAAACTACTGTGTCCTGTGTGTGTGTGTGTGCGCAAGAAAACGAATGAGTGAACACTGACTTTTATCACTCAAAAAAAGCCACAAAAACGTACATATGTTTTATTCAAGTAACTAAATAATGTCATATTCTTGGAGACTTAGCTAAATTTTATATTTACATATTAGTATTAGTATGAATTTCCCCTCGGGATAAATAAAGTATATATGTATCTAGTAAAGTGGTTCTTATCTTTCTTTTTTTATCACCACTTAAAGTGTTATTTAGTTATTTTTACTGCTTCACTGTATAGTTGTATTTTAAGAGTATTTTATGACTTTATTTCATCGCTGAGAATCAGAAAGGTTTATTGCCAAGTAGTATTTTATAAGTAAGAGGGATGTGCTATGGTGATTGGGTCCTAGACAAACATACAGTTGACAAATAGATTTTTTTATAAAAATATGGAATAAACAGATGCAAGTTATAAAATAATTAGCAAACTATGTGTAAAAGAAAAACAATGTGGCAGTTATTCACATGTGCATTACTCCAGATTTGTGTTGTTCAAATATATTACAGGGGGAGAGGATTTGTATATATAAAAAATTGAAAACCTTTTTTTTTTTTTAAGAAATATGTGCAATATGGCAGTTTCCATCATAGACAGGGAGAGAGTAGTTATCAAACAGATGTTGCAAAAGGCAGTTCTCTTGTATTTAGACCAATAGAGTGCTTTTCGTATATTCATTCACACACTGGTGAAGTCTTTCTTATATGATCAGGCTACTTCAGCACAGCAAATTATTTCAGAGCCAGTCAGTAACCAAGTTCATTATACTGAGTCAATTGACTGTGTTTAACAGCTCAACAATGTACCAGTACACACATTTTCTAAGCCAAAAAAAGCCTTTAGAGGTTCAATTGTTTGTATTATCAGTTTAATCCATTTCAATACAGGATAAATTGGTGAATCGCCAGTAAATCAATGTATGTTGGTGCCTGCATGTTGGTCAGTGTGTGTGCATTTATCCCTGAAGAGAGGAAAGGATGACGCTACTGGTGTCATTATAAATAGCTTTTTGTGCGCACACACACACACACACACACACACACACACACAGTATTTCAAAGTCCCTGCATGCCACATAGTTGGGTAATCCCGTGGCTGTCTCAGCCTGTTCAACCTGTTCTACAGAGAAACTACAGACGCACCGAAGCCACACAATGGCAGATGCTACAATGCTACGATTTGATCCATCTGCTTTGGATCTTAAAGAAATTACAGGTTGGTTTCCCAGACAAGGATAAAGTCTAGTCCTAGACTGGACTGAAGACATTCCTTGCTTTGAGTTTTGTTTAGCCCAGGACAAGGAAGTTTTACTCCTGTCTGGAAAATTCGCCCTGCAAATGTATAAAAAGACAGTAGTGGCAATAAGATTAGTGGATTTACAGAAAGATGACAATGCCAAAAATTAAACAGTTCGAGCTTCTAGAAAATTGATCATCTGCTTTTTCTGTATATGTTTTAATTTTGTTATAGCTTCTTGATTTATCACACAACCGTGAGGATAAGAAGGGTGATTTTAAGATTTTGCCTTTAGTTTTCCCAAAAATTACAAGCTTGTAAAGTTATTTGTGACATTAAATGATGCACAGGTGAAGAGATGTTTTGTAAATTAGGGCACATCACAAATGAGAGCCAAATGTCCAAAAGTAAGTTCATACATACTAAAATTTACAATATTTTTACTGGATCTTTGTGAGAGAGAAAACGTCCCTGACAGACAATACAGGTTGTAGAATAGCTCATATTTATTATGACATCCTAACCTTCACGGTTGTAGAGTGGAAGCAGAAAACAGCCGGGGTCATAACCTCTGAAAGGCTCCACTGATACGGTAAAGAAGGACAATATATTTGTTGTTTTTTTGTTCATTCAGGTTCACACTACGCTATTACTGCCAGAGAGGTTCAGTAGACTGTCTTCAATCAGGATAGATATTTTTGCAGAGGATAGAACACAAATCCAGAATCAATCCAGACTTTATTTTGCTCTGCTTTCCTCTGGAACTTCAACATCTGTGTCTTTCTACCCATAATGCCTTGAGTTTTGGAAACATTTCCTGTGCTCAAATGGGATTATGTATTACCCTCCAAGTACAGGGCTGGATGTGTCCACAGGAGGCTTGTTTCCCTCCATACATGCTTGATGTGAACCCTTAAACAAACTGAATCAGCTCAGGTCTGAGCAGAGTTCAGACTCGAAAAAAAGTTTTGTTCCAGAGTGTTGTCATATAAAAACAGTACATGTGTGGTTGTGGCTGAATCGTTGTGAGGTGGCCATTGGTGCAGATGTGATTCGTGACGCTAACATCGAGAGTTGCCTGTTGGAGAATGTTGGATAATCCTTCTCAACTATTCAATTATTACTTTTCATCAAAAAGTATGATAATTTGATTTGAACCAAGTTCATATAAACTCCTGGAGAACAGTTGATCCTGAAGGGAAAGTACAGTAATAAGATCAGCTTGTCATTATCTCTTACCTTGCCGGTCTTGTGGTCAAACCAGACCAGGGCATGATTCCTGGAAAGCACCTTGCAGTCGAAGGTGGCGTTGTTCTGGGCCGGACGACACCGAGCCACCGACCTGCCGATCTTGACTGGCTCATCCAGGTATACATGCCGCTCCTGGAATGGGTGCGAGTTGGGTCGGCAAGCGAACACGGCCAGCGCTGAAGGCATTGATTTTGGCTTTAGAGTATTACTCCAACCAGAGACGAGGGGCAGGTTTTCTTGATCCAGAGTGACGTGCTTCTGTTGCAATCCCCAATGTATAATCTCCAATATATCTGTGGCCTATAATGTAGGCCAAACTGTTAGTCCTTAAGCTTCTAGGCACTAACTAATAAACATTGTCCACTGTACACAGCCCGGGCTGCGCTGCTTTCCCACCTCGATTCAACAAGACTCTCCTGTGTTTGAAAAAAACGAAAATAAAAAACAAACCAACAGGTATAAAAAAGACAAGACATTCCTTTCACTGTCTGTCCACCAAAGCTACATAACGACACTTACATCTGACAGCAGGCACTATGCACAGACCAGGGTGCCATGTGTCAAGACATACATGACTGAGTATAGCTTTGACAGTCTGGCAAACAGCCTCCCACGTCCATCAAACTCTTCCACCACTGAAGCAGGTGAGATAAGCCAGTCACCAGAGGCTTGATCTTTAGTCCCCCTAAAGATTGCAGCAGCTCACGCCAATAACTCTATTGAAGTGATCAAATGAGTTATCAATCCATGGAAGGATCTTTATAATGTCTATCGGGAGCAGTTAAAGTATTGCGCGCTTTCTTGTTCTGTCAAGTCTTGTCTTGCAGCAAGCTGACAAGGTGCACACACCCCGATGTGCAACACGCCACGCAAGTTTGGCGTTTTAGTAACGTGTCATCGGTAACATATTCATCATTTACAGCCTGTCATAATCTGAGTGTTACCCTGATACAGGGAACCTTAGCTAGCTACCTAACGTCACCACTCCCTCCAGAGAACACCTACAAGACCGCTAACGACGCCTAGAAAGACTGAACGCCAAAAAACAAACCCTGAGTTATAAAGACATTATCTGTCAATTAAGCTTCGCCAACTAAAGCAGTTCAGTCTCCACTCTTCGTCTGAAGTCGCACATAGGCTTCAAACACTCAGCCTGGATGAACGGGGGGATTAGCAGGTCTTCTTGTGCAACTAAAATGCTAATTGGCTAGCTCGCTAGCGGCTCGGCCAACGTTTCCTGGCGTTGTACCAGCAAGCTAGGCTAGGCTAGGCTAGGCTAGTGAGTGCTGACAAACTTATTACCCAGGTCCTCAAATGTTTTCTCCCCACCCCTCTCAATCAGTTCGCTTACCGAGTGGATGCGAAATGCCATCCCTGTCTCCTGGGAGCAAATAAACAGCTAGCCCGGCTACTACGTTAGCATGAAAGGTGGTGAGCTAGCTGTGAGGTGAGCTACCAAGCAGCTAGCCGGCTAACTGACAGTCAGGGCAGAAACAGACGCGGAAAAATCAGGGGAGTTTCTTGACTGCGGGTCCTCCTCACGCATCACACCAGCCCGATTATATTCCAGGATAACAAAGCCACAACTTGCGCAGTCGTCGTCTATCTCAGTCCAGGTCGTGTTTGCCGGGGACGGTTAAGAGTTACAGTCGTCGCCTTCCTACATTTGTCTGGAAAGAATCTAGAAGAAGTTGTCCTCCTCCGCAAGTCCGAGCCGCCATACTGTAACTAAAGAGCAGACAGGCGGGGTGCGTTCACGGCCCGAGTCAACTCCACTCACCGCTGAGCTCATTTAATCAGTTCATTAGGGGGAAAAACAACAACCTAGTCATAATTTTGGATTAAACATTAAAATATATGGAGTTAATTGACGATAGTATGGAAGCCTGTTGCTGCCTGGAAAGAGCTCGGCGATATGGCCAAAAAAAATTGTTCATATCAGTCGATATCGATAAGATAAGATAAGATAAATATCAAATCAATATTTCTTTCAAGTTTAAAGGCTTTGGATTTGTGCTCCTGGGTTATAGTTGAAGAAGCCAGATGGATTTAGTAAAATCTTTCCTAAATAAATAAATATCTTAATAGAAAAATGAAGTGATAATTTGTTTGTGATTCAAATGAATTCTATCAAACATTTATTGAACATCTGTTATATTACTGTCATTATTGTTTTCTTGCCCAGCCTTTGTAATACCACACTGTAAAAATACTCTGTTGCAAGTACAAGTACTGCATTGAAAATGTTTCTGAAGTAAAAGTATGTAAGTATAATCTGGAAGATGTACTTAAAGGACTAAAGTACTCAATGCAGAATGTCAAAATGTCCCCTGTGACTGTTATATTGGTATATAATTATATCATGATATTATTATTACTCATGTATTTGTGTAAAAGCTGGAGCTCATTTTGAACTATTTTGTAACTGAGAGCAGCTAATAATTATTTTCCTTATGAATTCCTCTGCTGAATGTTTTCTCCTGTAATCAATTGATTGTTAGAATTCTGAAAATAGTGAGAAATGCTGTCATAGTTAACGCAGAGCCCAAAGATGACACCTTCATCATGCTTTGTTTTGTTCGACCAATATTCCAAACCTCAATATTATTATAAAACAATAAAATAATTCAAAGGAAAATCAGCAAATCTTCACATTTGTGAAGCTGGAACAATGAAATGTTTCACATGAAAAATGCATGAAAGGCTGCACTTGTATAACTGTTGGAATTTAATTTATATCAAAATAACATATATTTTACAGACTTTCCCATGTTTTCTTTGTAAAAATCTTTCTTTGTAAAGTAACTAATAAAGATGTAGCAGAGTAGAAGTAGAAAGTGGCATGAAAAGAAAATACTCAAGTAAAGAAATTTCAACTTAAGTACAGTACTTGAGTAAATATTTAATTACTGTTCACCACTGGAAACGGGTGAAAAGTTGGAAATTATGATAAAAGTGATGAGAATAAGTCAAATATATTTAGTCAAAGTTATGAATTTTTAAAATACATGTTTTTATTTTGGTTGTTCATAACATTACAGTACATCTGTTCCTGGTGGAAATTAGGTTCCACAGTATTGCCTACATATAGCCTTGCTTACATTTATATTTGGAAAGTAAACTCACTTCCACTTGTTTAATTGGTCAATGTGTTTAATACTTTGTTTAATACTCTTTTTTTTTCAGGCTGGTGTACATGTGTTATATCTATAATATTTTGAATAAAATAAGGTATTTGGACTATAAAAGTCCAAATGTAACCAAAATGGAAGTCATGTCTTAATGAAAAACTAATAACACTATATGCGTACTATTGTAACTGAAAACATTCCTGATTTTTGACCTTCTTTCTATGTTAATAATATAAAAGATGCCCCCTATTTAATCACAGACCTTAGGCCTTTATCATGAACAACAGAAAAATACAAAACACATGACAATTTTGATTTTGTCAGAGCTAAAAAATGTGAAAAGTTTGTATAACCATATCTGAACTATTTAACTGTTTCAAATACATTTAACAAACAACCAATTAACAAAACATATTCTAGAGGTTTTCCCATTGGGATGCCACAATTCTGTAATTTCCTAAATATCTGTGTTTCAAAGGAAAGGGCTTTTGGGGAGTCAGGGCTCCAATGGTTGCTTCAAGAAACTCAGGGAGTGTCCCTTTAAACTAGTTTTCAGTCTTGTTGTTGTGTTACAGTACTTTTAGGGATAGAACATATTCATTATACCACTACTATAACTTTCCAGTATCACCTAGGACTACAGCATTATATAATAATGTCTACGAGAACGCCAAATGACAGTATTTTACAGTTCCATTGTAAGGTTTTATCCAGGTGACTTGATTTATGGTCTGGGACAGCAGGATGGGGGTGGGGATGACGTGTGAGGAGATCAAATTTTGCTTATGGCTCCAGAAACGTCCCTGCTGTGTTCTGGTGAACCGACAGCTGAGACCAAATCAATGTTGGGACGAGACAGTAGAGCAGTTAAGTATGGGAGGATAAAACACCACAAGGCATCACTGCTGCTCATTTTGGTTTATTCAGTCATCATTTAACAGGAGATAAAACAAAAAACATTCATAATTAATTATTAATGTTTCCAGTTTTGTCCATCAAAACCTGTTTTTAACATTTACAACACAGTTCATAACTAAATACATACATATCAGTTATTGATATTTTTATGTGCTGAACTGTGGGTCGAGTCTAACAAATTAGTCAGTTCAAAATTCACTGATTTTACACCTTTACTTTACTTTATTTTTATTTGAATTAACATATAGGTGTATACAAACATTTTGGCACTGTAGCAAAGTAAAAAACATAAAAAGATTGAAGAAGAAAGTTCCTCATCTTGAGTATACATTGTTTGGTAGGTTACTACACTGGGCTGCCATGCAAAATCTAGTTGAGTTTTTGTTCATGGAAAAGTAAGTTGTTTCCCACCCTTTTCATTCTTTCTGTATGTTGTCTATAGCTTCACATTTGACCTGCACATATGTAGGTAGGTTTATTGTCACAATACAACAGGTTGTAGACTAAAATTGAGTTTTGTAACTCCCTTCTGCTATATAGCAGACAATATACATTAATGCAGAATCAATTATGAAAAATGGTAACAGAAATAAACTATCATTACTGGAGCAGTGCTAAAGATGAATTAGAGTTTAAGAGTCTGATAGCTTGGGGGGAAAAGCTGCTCTGCAGTCTGGTGGTGCAGCAGCAGAAACTTCTATATCTCTTCCCAGAAGGCAGCAGGGTGAACAAGCTGTGGCTGGGTGGGTACTGTCCTTTAGTGTCCTTTGGGGTCTGCGTAGGCACCTCACCTCACCGATATCACTGATGCTCGGGAGATGGGTACCAATGATCTTCTGAGCAGTTTTAATCACCCGCTGCAGAGCCCTCCGGTCCTGGGCCGTGCACATCCAATGCAAGTTTGTGATGTTTCCATTCAGGATGCTTTCTATTGCTCCTCTGTAAAAGCTGACAGGAACTTAGCACAGGACTTTGGCCTTCTTAAGCTTCCTCAAGAAATACAGTCGTTTCTGAGCTTTCTTCACCAGCGTGGAGATGTGAGATAACCATGTCAGGTTCTCCGTGATGCTGATTCCCAGGAACCTGAAACTGTTCACCTGCTCCACCTCAGCACCACTGATGTAGACAGGAGTATGTGTATTTATCTCCTTCTTCCTATGACAGTGGTATCAAGCCTCTCATCAAGAAAACAAATGAGCCCATTTCCCAAAATAGCAAACTATTCATTTAAACCCTCCTTTACTAGATTCCCTTTTCTTTTCTGTGTCCCTTCACTGTATTTTATTCACAGCCATGTGTAAATGGTAGTTGGTGTAGCCTATGATCACAATGTCTGTGCCAACAAATTTCTTTAACATAAGCATGTAGTCCTGCTGGAGGTCTTTGCAGGTCTGAGCTTCCTGAGGATTGATGCAGGGTTCACTTTGGGATCAGACTGATTATCACTCTGTTCCAAATAGAGTGAAGGACGAGACAAGGATGAAGCAACTAACACAGACTGTTCAGACCTTTACATGCAGTTGTAAGTAATGCAGTTTTACTACAACCTGGTCCAAGTCTTGGTCATGGTCATGGTATAGATCCTGATCCTATAGTCCCTGCAGCCCAGCCCTCCCACAGAGCGAGCAGGGGACCAGCTGTCACTACAGTCTGACTATTATTTAAGATTTAACAGCATCTTACTGTGTTTAGCTTCTTAAGCCCAGTTTGACACCACAGAGTCCAGTTACAGCGGTTGTGTGTTGGTGACAAGCACAGTAAAGACTAAAAACACACTAAAAGACTTTTCAAAAGAAATATTTATTCTATGGTTTGTTTTTCTGTATCTTAAACTCGCACAAGTTAAGCACTCTGTAACATTACTTTTGAGTTCATTAGTTATTTTATTAGTTCAGCAATAAAGAGATTTTGCATTTTAAAGTTTTAATGGACAATTGTGTCATATTACATGTTGCATTTTGTCTAATATTTATTTAACTATTTGGCAGTGTTTTTTTTTAACTTTTTTTACTTGCAACTAATTGATTTTGTATTTAAGATGATGCTTGCGAAGGTGAAAATCCTTAAACTGCTTACAAAAAATGGAAATTTGAACATTTACAATTTCATGACAACTGGCAAACGCTACATGATCATGTGATCTAAAGATCCAAAACAGCTGCCATGCAGACCTTGATGTGAGATTGTTTTCTAAACAACATAGTTACTGATGAATTGTCTATTAATTTATATGGTTATCTATTTAAATATTAAGTGTTTTATTTGTTTGTTCAAGTTTATTTTGTCATTTCAACATAAATTTAATATTGATTCTCTAAAGTATGAAAACCAACCAAAAATAAAGTATTAGTAATTTAGCAAATATTAGTTATGTTTCTGGAAATAAATCTGATTGATTTGCTTACTCAGACCAGGGAAGTATAGGCTTTTTGTTTTATTTTTTGTTCCATCCATTTACCTTTAATAAGGTGGATTTGTGTCACATCCGGGGTCAGCAGCAGGTGAACCCCCTCCCTCTGTGAGCACCCCTACTCTGATTCATCCATCTGCTTGCTCAAGGATGGAGCTATTAAAGGATTTAGATAAAGCTGATTTACTGCCTTGTTCCTGACTCAGACTGAGAGTCAAGCTGTAATTGAAGAAGTAATTCATTCAGTGATGTAAAACTCATTGTGAAGGGGAAGAACGCAGATCCAGCA